TAAGGACATACTATCCACAAGTCAACTATAATATCAGAGGGATGAGTATCATGAAAGAAATATTAACAAACCTATGGGAGGAAACGATAATTAAATTGAACAAGCTTACTGAGGATCTACTATGTGTCAGACATTGTACAAACTGCTGGAGAAATAGTTGGATACGTAAATGCACTTAATACACAGTTAAAAATTAATGTACACATTCTTTTTTTTTTGAGACAGAGTTTCGCTCTTGTTGCCCAGGTTGGAGAGCAATGGCGCGATCTTGGCTCACCACAACCTCCACCTCCACAGTTCGAGCGATTCTCCTGCCTCAGCCTCCTGAGTACCTGGGATTACAGGCATGCACCACCACGCCCAACTAATTTTTTTCGTATTTTTAGTAGAGACGAGGTTTCTCCATGTTGGTCAGGCTAGTCTCAAACTCCTGACCTCAGGTGATCCACCTGACTCGGCCTCCCAAAATGCTGGGATTACAGGCATGAGGCACGGTGCTTGGCCAATTAATACATTCTTAATCACAAAAGTAAGGTTTTTAAAAGATTTTTCTTAGAGGAGGTGGGGCTCAAAACATAAGCAGGATTTTACTTTTAGAGTTGAAGACATTTCAGGAGAGGAAACTTCAAGAGAAAAACTGGGTGAGTGCACAGTGGAGTAAGGAAAGAATCGTACTTCACTTTGACCTGAGAACTGGATGCAGTACTAGGAGATTGTGCTGAAGAAGTAGGCTGGAGAATGTATGGTGGTACAGTCACTTCGTAAAACAATTTGGCAGTTTCTCAAAAAATTAAAAGTTATCATACAACTTAACAATTCCGCTCCTAGGTACCTACCCAAGAACACATAAAGACTTGCACATGAATGTAATGTTCATAGCAGCATTATTCACAAAAGCCAAAAAGTAGAAACTCAAATGTCCATCAACTGGTGAATGGATAAATAAAACATGGCTTACCCACACAACAAGATAAATAAGTGAGTAATAAAAAGGAATGAATTAATGATACATGTTACAATGTGGATGAACCTAAAATAATTAGATGGAAAGAATAATATATTATATGGTTTCATTTAGAGATAATTTAAAGAGATAGGAAGTAGATGAATGGTTGCCTGGGGCTGGTGGTGGGAACAGGAACTGACTACAAATGTCCACAAGGGAAGATTTCTTTGGGGTGATGAAAATGTCCCTAAAACTGGATTATGGTTATGGCTCAATGACTAAGACAATGTTGAACTGAACACTTAAAACAGGTGAATTTTATGGTATGTAAATTATATCTCAATAAAGCTGTAAAAATTTTAAAAACTTAAAATTAGGCAGAAAGAAAATAGGAAGCGCAATCTTAGAAATAAAAAATGTAACTATTGAAATTCAAAAAACTTAATAGATGGGAAAAACTCTGGACTGGACAAATTATTTAGACGACTGGCAAATTGGAAGGCAAGGAATTCACCAGGATGCAACACAAAGACAAAATCTTTTTAAAAAAATAACATCTCAGGATATAGATAGTGAGGCTTCCTCACTTTCCTAATGGTAGTGCCAGAAAAGATAATGGAGGTAATGGCTAGGAAGCAATATTGCAAGAGAAAATCAGTAATAATTTTCCAGAATTAAAGAAAGCACATGCACCCCTGTAATCCCAGCACTTTGGGAAGCCAAGGCAGGAGAATTGCTTGAGCTCAGGAGTTTGAGATCAGCCTGGGCAACATAGTGAGACCCTGTCTCTACAAAAAAATTTTTTTTTAATTAGCTGGGCATGGTGGCTCATGCTTGTAGTCCAGCTTGAGTATGCGAGGTCAAGGTTGCAGTGAGCTTTGATCACATCACTGCACTCCAGCCTGGGTGACATAGTGAGACACTGTCAAAAAAAAAAAAAAAAAAAAAAAAGAAGCACATGATAATCCTCAAAAGATAGTACTTCCTACTTTTGCAGAGGATAAAGATAAACGAACACCAAGACAGTTCTAGAAAACCTGCTGAACAGTAAAAATAAATAAAACAAGTCTGAAATGTTACCAAGGGGAAAAGGCAGCTTATTTACAAGGGAATGAAAATTAGATTGGCAGCAGAATTTTTAACCAGCGACACTTAGTGCCAGAAGACAGTGGAGTGCTATCATTAAGGTGATGTGGGAAAATAACTGTTCACTAGAATTTTATATCCAAATAAATTATCATACAAGTGAGGGCAAAATTAAGACATTTCCAACAATGAATTCCCTCCCATACCAAGGCACCTACAGAAAGACCTATTAAAGGATGGATTTCAGCCAGAAGAAAAGTGAACCTAAAGGGAACATTGCAGATTCAAGAAAAAAAAATAGTGAGCAGAAAAATTGATAAAATGTCAGTAAAGTTAATTAACTTTTAACTATAAAAACTATTTTTAAATTTAAGAAGTAAAAACAGATAGAATGCGGTGACACATGCCTGAGCTTTGGGAGGTCAAGGCGGGAGGATTGCTTGAGGCCAGGAGTTCGAGACCAGCTTGGGCAACATGGTGAGATTCTATCTCTACAAAACATTTTTGAAAAAGAAAAAATTAGCTGGGGGTGGTGGTGTGGACCTGTTCCTAGCTACTTGGGATTCTGAGGTGGGAGGGTCACTTGAGGCCAGGAGTTTGAGGCTGCAGTTAGCCATGACTGTGCCACTACACTCCAGCCTGGGTAACAGAGGAAGACCCTGTCTCTTAAACAAACAAACAAACAAACAGAAAAGTAAAAATAAAACTCTAGGCAGCAATAAGAAGATGGGAAGGAAGGGGCTGTTAAATGAGTAAAATATACAAAGTTCTTTCATGGGAAGAAACAATTACATACTAACTTTGTTAGAAAAAAATCAGAATTAAGTATGGATGTTGAAAAATAAAAGACGATTCTGAGAAGAATAGAAATAAAACCCAAAGCTCTCAAACCAGCAGTGGAATATGGATCACTTTGCTAATCCGATAGAAGCCAAGAATGGAAGCAAAAGAAGCAAGGAGAAATAATGGTAAATGAAAAACGCAAGATCTGATGGAAGAAAATATTAGTAATCACAGTAAATGCCTGTGGATTAAATTCACCTGTCAGAGACACAACCAAAATAAACCTGATAGAAAGATTAAATATGAAGATATGGAAAATAATTCACACACAAATAGTAGCCAAAAGAAGGGTGGCCTATTAATAGCAAAAACTTCTAATTTAAGCAATTAGCATAAAAATGGTAAACAGAGGCACTACATAAGGATCAATCATCATTTCTAATGCAGAATATACTTTAAGAAACACTGCCTACTGTGCGCCAAGAATCATGTATGCCTTCTATACTGCTGTGTTTTCAGTGCTTGGCACATAATAGGTGTGCCATAAATATTAATGAGTGGAATCATTGCTATTTTATATTGAAATGATCTGTTTGTGTGTTTGTCATACCACAAGGGCAAGACCATATCTTACTAATTGTTATGCCATCAACATTCAGCACAGCAGTTGGCACATAGTAGGAATTCCATAAGTCCACACTGAATTCGAGGATCATCTTGTCTATAAAATCTCCCCTCACAGTTCCTTCTGTACTGATTTGTCCTTTGTTTCCACTTCTATAGAACTCGTAATTGGAAGCACCCAATTTAGCACCCAAGACATAGTCTTCTGGCTTTCACTCAATGTTTCAAATCTTGTTTCTCTAAAACTATTTTAGATTCTTTGAAGATAGGGAAGATGCCTTGCACTGTGCCAAGTGCCTTTTCAGGTACTTGAATAAATACATGTTTTGGTTGACGTCACTATTTACATGAATGTAGGTTAGATCAATAGTACCGGTTATATATGCCAAGGACTCTAAGGGCTATCTCCAATCTCTTTTTTCATCCCTTGACCAAAGAGAGCCCTCTTTGGAGACAGGCTCATGTGTGAAGAATGAGAAGTTAATGACACAGGTGGGAGAAGGCAGCTAGTGTTCAATTCCAAGACTCTGTGCTCTGTTCGTCCTGGCAAAATAGTGAGGTTGGCCGGACAGCGGGAGGGGAATGTCTGTGATCCCACAAAAAATGTGTGGGAAGTGAGAGGGAGATGGTGAGGAAAGAGAGCATGTTCCAGATGCCACAGGACAGACCTGGACCTGACCTTTCCCTGGCGGGCACGGCACCAGGAGTGTATTATGAGACCAAAAGGAAACCCCAAAGCAAACAGCTAAATTCATCCACTTGAAACCTTGTATGGGAGACAGTGAGGGATGTTGTTCTCCATCTAGACAAGGCACAGAGGGGAGTCTGTGACAAGGAGCTCCTAATTGGGGAGCTGCAGAAGGTTAACAAAGAGCACTGGTGGCATCTTTTTGCTGGTCTTCTTGAAAAAGACATAGTCTGGGAAGGTTCAATCAGGGCTCTGCAGGAGGTAGGGAGGTGGGTTGGCTGACCGACCTCCCAAGGTCCTTCCTAATCCCGTAATTATTTGGTGAATCGTGCTCTTCTCCATTTATGCTCCTACACACGTCTGCACCCAGTTTGATAGTAAGTCCCCTAGGCTGCATTCCAGGTTTAGTACGGTGCCACGCAAGCTGCCGGCACTCAAAGAATGACGCAAATATTTGTTGAATGAAGGAATACATGGATCAAGTGTTTAAATAGAGCCCACATGACCTCCCCAAGCTGTAAAGTATGGCAGTTGAATGAAATCACAACATTCTAGGCACTTGAGCAAAGCTGGCGGACACACACACACACACACACACACACACACACACTCGATTCAAAGGCACAGACCACCTGCTCAGCAAGCAGGCTGTGGGAGTTTCCTTGGCAAGGACCCTCTTTCTCTGCTGCTTTAGGATGGTGCCTCTAGAAGGTCAAGTCACCCAGATTTAGGACCGCTTCCCTTCCTGGTTGGCCTCCGAGACAAAGTTTCTGTCTGGATTCGGCCCGGGCCTCCCGGGAGGGACATCCTCTCTCCCTCCCGGCTCCGGCGCCCCGGGCGTGCAGCTCGCTGGCCCGCTGCGCCCCACCTTACCTTGGTGAGCTGGGCGATCTTCTTGCACATTTTCACGTGCATCTCGGGATCACAGTCCATTCTCCAGCCCGTGCCACCACCGCGGGCGTCGTCTTTGGAGCCCGGGCAAGTCCCTGGCGGGTTAATTTTGCTTTTGAGAGCAGAAGCCATCACTAAAACGCGCCCAGCACTCAAAGACTCTCGCTCGTGTTCTCCCTGCCCACCGTGTGCACGTGCGTGCGCGCGCGGGCGTGCGAGCGTGTGGGTTTCTCGGGAGAGGTGGCCCTGCAGTCCCGTCGCCTGCACCGCTGCGTGGCCCCAGCTTCCCGAAGGTCTCCGCCTCCCGGGCCCACCCGCGCGCCCACCCGCGCGCCCACCCTTTCTCCTCTCCCGCTGGCTCTCTGGCTGGTTGGCTCCGCGGGCACCCGCACCCTGCGGCAAGGCTCCGGCGCCCCGCACGTGTCGTTGGCGATCAGTCTGCCGCTCCCCAGCCAGTGCAGGTTTCGTGTGCAAGAGGAGAGCTTCCGCGGCTAGGAGCAGCCGGCCTTGGGGGGTTTGCGCTGGGCGGGCACGGCGCTCTTGGACACGTGGGTGCAGCGCGGCCCCGGACTCGGTGGCGACGGACCCTGCCAGAGGTGGTCATCCCGGGCCAAGGAGAAATAAGAGCCTCCGGAGCGGGACAGGGCACAGTGACCCGCGGCTTCCGAGTCTCCGAGCTGAGGGTGGAAATGGGGGTGGGGGACGAGATGCTAAGAGAGGGGCGAGTAGGTGAGGGCGAGTCACCGGGACTTGAGGAGGTGTGGGATCCGGAGCGCACGGTGTGGGCCAGCGCCTGAGTTGCGCGAGTGCACGGCGGGGCTGGGGATGGCAGCCTTCCTTTTTGGATCTTGGAGAGGAGCCAGGACATTGCGGGAGGATTGCCGGGGATGCCTAAACAAAGAGAAGCCAAGGGGATGGCAGGGTGCAGGTGTCCGAAATCTGAGATGAGAAAGTGCGAAACGCATAATGCGGGAAGCGGTAGGAAGGCAAAGACAAAGTCTTTAGGGAGGTAGAAAGGATGGTGGCAGGTGCGGGAAAGGAAGAAGCAAAGAGGAATGGAGCAGTTAGATGAGTAACAGATGGAGCTGAAAATCTAAGTAAACCGAGCCCATTGAAAGTAAAGTGAGTCGTTCAAATCCACACTACTGGCCTTGGGCAGACGAGCCAGACTGTCAAGTTTTCGGATTCTGAGCTGGTGTCTGTTTAGTGTTTGGTGAGGGGAGAGGTTAGTGGGCCAAATTTCTTTCTGGCATGTTCTCTGGTTTCAGACAGTGGGCTTTAAGGGAAAGTGACGGCACCGTGATCAGCTTTTCCTAAAGCTCGAATAATAGCGTCTTCATGATCGTTTGCATAGTGAATGTATATCATTTATACATTGCCTTATATCAGAAATTTTAATAGTCTTCATAAACCAAACAAGCTTCAAAGGATCTCAGAAACCACAGTTCCACCCATCCATACTGAAGGTAACAATAACCCATTTTTGTCGGTGAGGAAAACTGACCCAGAGAATTTGTACTAAGTCAGGCAATTACAAGTAGAACTGTTTCTGAAACAGACATTCCTATTCCAGATTCTGTATCAAATGACCAACCTCGGTTTTTGATTTCTAGTTTACCATCTTAAGTTCTCTTTTTAGCACAACGCCTCCCTCCCCCAGTTCCTTTAGAAAACAGGAGGCCTGAATCAGAATCAAGGCCAAGAAATTCTGTGCCCTATCCTAGATTCCTTGAAACAAAACCTGTGAGGATGGAGGTCAGGGGACGAGGAATCCACATTAAACAGCTCTCTGCTTAATTCCAAATTGTGTATTTAGAATATTTTCTGCAGGATCTTAATATACACTAAATTTTACAGGAATTCAACCACTGTGTAAACTAGAGGAAAATTAGCCTTTTTGGTCAAGAACTTTACCAAAAGTTATTCACCATTTTGGAAAATCACATCAAGGGCCAGGTGGCTCATGATATTTGGTTGCCAATACAACACACTTCTTTTTTTTTATTTTTTATTTTTATTTTTTGAGACAGAATCTTGCTCTGTTACCCAGGCTGGAGTGCAGTGGCATGATCTTGGCTCACTGCAACCTCTGCCTCCTGGGTTTAAGCCTTTCTCGTGCCTCAGCCTCTGGAATAGCTGGGATAACAGGTGTGCGCCAACACGCCTGACTAATTTTTGTATTTTTAGTAGAGATGGAGTTTCTCCATGTTGGCCAGGTTGGTCTCAAATTCCTAGTCTCAAGTGATCTGCCCACCTAGGCCTCCCAAAGTGCTGGAATTACAGGTGTGAGCCACCATGCCTGGCCACAACACACTTCTAACCGCCACATTCATGGGAGTCTACCTACATATGCAAGCATCTGAGTACTACACTATGTCCCTCAGTATCAATAGGCGTTTGGTTCCAGAACCCCTTCAGATACCAAAATCCATGAATGTTCAAGTCACTTACATAAAATTGTGTAGCATTTGCATATAACTTACACACATCCTCTCGTATGCATTAAATCATCTCTATATTACTTGTAATATCTAATACAATGTAAATGTTATGTAATTAGTTGCTACACTGTATTGTTTAGGGAATAAAAAATAGTCTGCATTTGTACAGTACAGATACAACCATCCATTTTTTTTCCTCAAATATTTTTGACTTGTGGTTAGTTGACTTTGAGGATGTGGAACACATTGATATGGAGGGCCGACTGTATATATTATTTAGTTATAATGAAATATCAAGAATCAAATGTCAAAAATATCAAAGTCAAGAAATCATGCAGATTTAAAAAGGTGTGTATTATCTATGAATTTCCTTCTTTCTTTATTTTTTTTTTTGAGACAGACTCTCGCTCTGTCGCCAGGCTGGAGTGCAGCGGCACCATCTCGGCTCACTGCAAGCTCTGCCTCCCGAATTCACGACATTCTCCTGTCTCAGCCTCTGGTAGCTGGGATTACAGGTGCCTGCCAACACGCCCGGCTAATTTTTTGTATTTTTTTTTTAGTAGAGACGGGGTTTCACCGTGTTAGCCAGGATGGTCTCCATCTCCTGACCTCATGATCTGCCCACCTCAGCCTCCCAAAATGCTGGGATTACAGGCGTGAGCCACCGTGCTGGGCCTGTGAATTTCAAGATAGTAACATGGATGTTATAAAAGAGGTGATGTTTGGTCTGAAAAGAATCAAAAGCCATTGCTCTAGATGATCTTTTACACACTGAAGTTTAGAAAAACTGCATGTCTAACCCCAAGTTTTAGTTTTTAAATAATGATTTCATTAGGTCTTGGGGCTAAAAAATGTTCCAGTAGGAAATATTATACTTTCAACTTTACAATGGAAGACAACGGGGAAATCAGATACCTTTATCAGCTTTGTTGGCCGACGGCTGCTGTAATCAAGGCACCATGAGCCCACCTGTTTTGGAGGGTCCTCTGCAGCTCCTAGGATTTTCCAGCACTGGGATTAGTAGGTCCCTTTACAGCATCAGGAATGAAATTGAGGGCAGAAGAGAATTAAGTACTGTATCCAATGTGGAGGTGGAAGTACATTTACTAGGCCACTAATGTCATATTGGCACTGTGCTAAGCCCTTAGCACATATTCTGACCTCCTCTGAGGTACTTATTATCATCCTCGTTCTACAGACTAGGAAAGTGAAGCTAAGGCAGGTTGAGTTCCCAACTGTATACAGCTAGTGAATGGATCTGGGTCTATCTGACTTCAAAGGTGATGTTCTTACCAATTGATTTTTCTTTAGATTACAAATATAAGCTTCCCAGAGCACAATGCTGGCAATATGATAGTTTTTTCTTTTTAAAATTCTCGTTTTTAAAAATAGAAACAAGGTCTCACTATGTTGTCCAGGCTGGTCTTGAACTCCTAGCTTAAGTAATCTTCCCAAAAGATCTTGGCCTCCCAAAAGTGCTGGGATTACAGGTGTGAGCCACTGTGCTTGGTCAAAAAAAATTAAAATCATAAGTGACTTGTCTTTTCTTTAGATTATAAACTTCTTGTAATATCCCCCCAAACATCCTCACCCATGATAATACACACAACAACAACAAAAAAAGAGTAGAAGCAAGCAAAAATAACCCCACATCCCAAACTCAGAGAAAATTATTGTTAATATTTTGGAGAAGATACTTCTAGACATTTCTGTGTACACATATAGAAATGTAACAAACAGATATGTATTTCAGAAATGTTTACACATTTCTGTGAAAACTATAAACAAATACTATAATACTTTTTTTTTTTTTTTGGAGATGAAGTCTCACTCTTGTTGCCCAGGATGGAGCGCAGTGGTGCAATCTCGGCTCACTGCAACCTCCGCCTCCTGGGTTCAAGAGATTCTCTTGCTTCATTCAGCCTCCTGAGTGCTGGGATTTCAGGCATGCGCCATCATGCCCGGCTAATTTTTGTATTTTCAGTAGAGACGGGGTTTCGCCATGTTGGCCAGACTGGTCTCGAATTCTTGACCTCAGCCTCAGCCTCCCAAAGTGCTGGGATTATAGGGGTGAGCCACTGCACCTGGCCAATAATTTTGTTTTGTTTTGTTTTTGAGACTGAGTCTCGCTCTGTCGCCCAGACTGGAGTGCAGTGGCATGACCTTGGCTTACTGCACTCTCTGTCTCCCGGGTTCAAGTGATTCTCCTGCCTCAGCCTCTGGAGCAGCTGGGATTACAGGCACCTGCCACTATGCCTGGTTAATTTTTGTATGTTTAGTAGAGACAGGGTTTCACCATGTTGGCCAGGCTGGTCTCGAACTCCTGACCTCAAGTGATCTGCCCACCTTGGCCTCCCAAAGTGCTAGGATTACAGGCGTGAGCCACCATGTGCAGCCTATAATAATGTTTTTGAACCCTACTTACTCAGTAATATAAAGTGGATATCTTTTTGTCAATGAAGATCTGTCTTCCCATTCTTAACAACCAGTCTTCCATTACATACAATATCATTTACTCTATCTTCTCCTGGACAATTTTTAAAATATTTTAAGCCAAAATGTTTAATGTATATTTGTAATGTTTGCTTGCTGTATTATGAGGATATTAAATTCTGTCCTAAGGGATAGATAAAGAAAGAATATATGAAACTCACGTGTTAAGTATAATGGGCAAAGAAGTAGCCTGTGAAATAGGCAGGATTAAGATGTTAAGTATAGGTAGTGTAGTGCAAGACATGACAAAGAGAATAAATGGAATATGTGTAAAAAGGATAGAAGAAACAAGAGTGTTCCTCACGGACAGAACAAGGTGGGAAAGGCCAAGCTGCAGTGTACAGATGACGCCACCTTCAGGCTGAAAGTTCATTACTAAAATGGCCATTCATTAGTGACACCCGTTCTGGCCCTATTTCTGTTC